GGACATTTATTATCCCTCAAAGAAGACAAAGTGGGAAGTACGGGCATCTTTTGGATATCTGAAGAATGCCGAGGGAGTTTATAGAAGACGGCCATCCTGTTTGCAGCACGTGCAGAAAAAGTGTCTGTGAAAGGCAGCAACGCTTCAAATCTCATGACACATCTGCGTGACCATCACCCACAACCCTACAGTCAACGCAAGGCAAGCTAACGTTAGCGTTTTAGCTAAAATGCGTGATCCGAGGATTTGGGTTGAGGGAGAATGCAACGAGTCGCTATATAAAGCAGCCGCAGCGCCGCTACCTGCATATAAACCGTGTCGCGGACACCGCCATGTTGAAATGACGCTATGCATTACGGGGCTCCCAAGGGCAGATAAGAGTTGGTCTCTCTCCGAGAATAATTATGAATTTAACAACGATTACTGCCTGATGACATTTTCCCACATCTGCAAAGCTCACTGGAAGGACACAAACCGAGGACAATATTTTCCTGATATAGGGTTTATTACTCAAGTAAGGGTAAAAAAAGTATCTGAGTAGAAGGCTACTTGAGTACTGAGTATCATCTGATCTAATATTGTTAAATGATGACATCAAACAGACATAAAATAAGAAGTTATGAGCAAATATTGGTATTTTAAAGACTAAAGGGAAAAAATGAAAACAAATAAACAACATAATTACAAAATAACACATTTTTGGTCTGTCAATGGACGACTGCTTCCCCAGCACGACAATCAATCAGAAGAGGATGGGTGGAGTCTTTATTTTGTCTCGAATCGTTGCACTGGAGGCAATGAAGCATCCAAAAATGATCATTTTACAACTTCACTTCATAAGGATTATCTAAATTATTTCCTCATAGCCATCATTTATTTGGAAGATTATAAAATAATTTAAATTAAGTTTTTAGACCAGCTTTGTGCAACAAAACAATGAGATTATCCTTGATAATGACTGCAGGTGTGACTAGTTATGAATATTAAAGTGAACTTTTTTCAAAATCTATATGTAGGTGAGGGTTAGGGTTAGGGTTAGGGTTTATATCATAAATCATTAAGACACTTTTCATGGTGTAAACTTCACTTACAACACCTCTTATGAACTGGCTTTGCTTAACCCCCAAATTCCACTACCTCCGCTCCGCTGCGGTCCGCCCCCGCCTTCCGCAGCCGCTCGCTTCCGAACTCAATTTTTACTGGTACGCGCTCTACAACGGCTCCGCTCCGGTGCGTAGACCTGAGGTGCGCAAACAAGCATGCGCGGGATTTTCAAGATCTTGCGATACAGTCCGAGCAATAAACGCGGAAGTTAGATCCAAACACCCGTTGTGTGGGAGAAGCATCGGCATGAACTGTTTAATCTGCCCATCATTTGTGTAGAGATCAGCAGTGTTTGGATCAACAAAGTGTGACTACTTTGATAGCGGAAACTGTATTTATGGCTTACTTTTGTGCATTTAAACTTCAGCCGCCATTGATAGTTGTTAAAGTTGTTAAACCTGTGCATATGAAACAAAAAACGCCTTTTGTTTATCGATTTATTGTGAAAAACGGAAGTTGTGCTTGCTCCTTTTCCTGTTGGGCCGTTGTGATTTCTGTCCATTTACTGCGGAGGTGCTCCGGCGTCCGGCAAAAATAGGATCGATTCTATTTTTGCTGGACGCCGGAACAGAGGGCGGCGCACAGCGCCGCACTGCCGGAGCACGGCCGCAGTAGTGGAATAGCTCTGACTGACTACAACGGGACCGATTTTGCTCCGGCGTTCGTGTCGGAGCGGAGGTAGTGGAATTTGGGGGTAAGTCCTTTTGGTGATGCAAACCTCCTGGGGTCGTCAGGTCATCTATAGGCTCCAAAGCTCCTTCGCCTTCATTTTCAGGAAACATCTGTTGACGGAATATTCATTCTATCATTCTGCTGTTGTAGGCAACAACATGCATCCAAAGCCCTTTTCAGATAGACATTCTGGAACATTTGTGGACAATTCAATCCGGTTTTTAACCGGAACTGTGTTTTCAGACACACCACTTTTGTACCGGAATTTGTCCTTTCGGCTGCGTTCACACAGCAACGGTGGGGGGTGGTGGTGGGGGTGCGGGGGGTGCGGGGGGGTGTAGAATTGGACTTATGTTAATCAATCAATCAAGCAAAGCTTTATTTATAAAGTGCCTTCCGCAACCCTGTCAGGAAGCCCAAAGCGCTGAACATGGTTCAGTTGTAGGTAAATATATTGAATAAATCAACAATAAAAGCAATTCAAATTACAAAATACAAATTACAAAATACAAATTACAAAATAGATTAAACATTCTGGTACAGGACAAATGTGTAAAACAATGGAGTGAGTGAACCAATGAAAACTGTGAAATAAAATCAGCATAAAAGAGGCCAAAATCAAACATGTTCAGGAAACGCCAAGCGGAGGAGGTGGGTTTTTAGGCGACTCTTAAAGACTGGCAGAGATGGGGACAGCCTAACTGAGGGTGGCAACTGGTTCCAGAGTGACGGTGCTAGGACTGAGAAAGCCCGGTCCCCACGGGTACGACACCTAGAACGAGGGACAGCGAGCAGGCCTTGGTCAGAGGAGCGCAGAGCGCGTGATGGGGAGTGTTTGTTCAGGAGAGTGGCTAGATAGGGGGAGCACCACCCTGGAAGAAATGATAAACAAAGACGAGTATTTTGAATTGTGAGTGATAGCAAACCGGAAGCCAGTGCAGGGAGGCCAGAACCGGACTGATGTGGTCCCGTTTCCTGGTCCCAGTCAGGAACCTGGCTGCGCTGTTCTGCACAACCTGTAGGTGGCGCAGTGTTGACTGACACAACCCTGCATAGAGAGAGCTGCAGTAGTCAAGCCTAGAAATAACAAAGGCATGCAGTACCCGCTCCAGGTGGGCTCTCGACAGCATATGCTTGATATTTGCAAGGCGTCTCAGGTGAAAGAAACTGGACCGGATCACAGAGTTGATGTGAGCATCAAATTTAAGTCCAGCATCAAGTTTCACCCCCAAACTGGTAACAACTGGTTTTGAGTAGGGAGAAAGAGGGCCAAGATCAACATAACGATCCACATTCCTGCTGTTGGGGTGAAAAACAATGAGCTCTGTCTTTCCCTCATTCAGATGTAGATAGTTGGCCATTAGCCAAAACTTCACCTCGTTAACACAGGACACAAAGGACTGGATAGAGTGACCTTTCTCCTGACACAATTGGAGAGTAAATCTGGCAATCGTCAGCATAGAGATGGAATGATAGGCCATGTTTACGTTAAGAAGAAGAAGAAGAAGAAAATATCATTTCTATAGCGCCTCTCAAGATAAAAATCACGAGGCGCTTAAGCATAATTCTGCACACACGAAGACGCATAAGAGACCTGGATGATGAAGCTCAATGGTTAAAGGAATCACTGAAGCGGTGTGAAGCGCTCCGTCGCGCGTCTAGGCGGTACCGTAGGAGGCGACCTCCCGTGGTTCGCCGCATGCTACAGGAGCGAGCTATCTAGGTGCGCACAGCGTCCCCGGTCCCCTCCTCCTCCCCCTCCCCCTTGTCCGGAACTCTACCTCACCAGTCTGAAGCAGCCACCCTGTCCGTAACAAGTCCGGACCTGTTACTAGGGGCTTCGTCCGGTTAAATTCCGGAACACGTTATCCGGATGTTTGTATTCAGACACAAAGGTCTTACTGACAGAGTCCGGAACATTTCCGTTTTTCATGGCCTGTCTGAAGGGGGCTCAAGATAGGTGATTACTGCAGCAGATCAGATTGTCAGTTTCAATCAGCTAAAAATATATTCAGATGAGAGATAAATGTACGTTTTTGTCCTTTAACATACAAATAATGTACAACTTTATCAATTGATAAGAGGTTTTAAAAATATATAATTACTCACTATCAGTAAATGTGAGCAGATGGGTGATATTTGAGCTAGTTTGCTGTTGGGTGTGACTCTCGCATACAAAACACACTCAGGCTTTTTTTTCTGTCAGCCAGAGAAGCAGGTTTTATGTATGAACCTCCAGCAGTTACCTTACTGCAGTGCTGGACCAATCAGCCATCAGCATTCCAGTTTAGCTCATCACCACAGCTAGCATGTCCTGTGTCATGCTTATTCAGACACTGTTAACCCCCAGAGACCAACGGTTGTAATATTTTAACATCAGATTTAAGTCTACAAAAATAAACCTTCCCCATTTTTTTTCTTTTTAAAACCACATTTACATTGCTAATAGGTCCTATTGTTCAGTTCTGCAACACTATTGGCTGTTAAAATGTGTAAATAGGCCCGTTTATCTGGCCTCCTAGAACAACATGTGAAAGGTTAAAAAAAGATTTTGCAGTTGTTTTCTAAATTTGGGTCTCTGGGGGTTCGTTAACATGTTCAACCCCAACACCTGCTGTTGAAGGGTCTCAGGAATGCTAGTAGTGATCATATGATTGCTGAAACAACTTGTTATTGCTGCTGGATAAAAGTAAAGACTAAACTCGTTAATAACTGATGAACGTGATATTAAGACAGCATTTACCTTAGCAGTAACTGGAATCTGAAGATGGGTTGACAATTTACTAAAACATTGGAGATTATAAATCCTGAATATTCTTCCCACTATAGTAAAAAAATCATCTCATTTTAAGGAGCTATTATTTATTTCTGGTAATAAAACACTAATTTAGGTAAGCAAAACCATGAAAAATTATAATTACATGGATTTTAATGTTGGCCAGTTTTTATGTAATAAAATAAACCAGCATTGTACACAGGTAGCCTAATTAGTAGCATTTTTAACATCTTAACACCACCCAAAAACCTCAGTAATAATTACTATCCACAGTTCACCTTTAAGTGGGACAACATGCTAGCCTGGCAAGCCAGACTAAATAAATGTATTATTCAAACTTTGCAAAGCAAGAATTTGGTCTAGTTCACTAGGGTAACAACATGCACACTCGGTGGCTGCCAAATGCTTTTATGTCTCACAGTAAGTGGCAAATGTGATTTGTTCTCAGTGAGTGTAAAGAGGCGATCCTGGTCTTGGCAGCAGTACCTGGACGAGAAAAAGGCGGAGGCAGCTCCATCTAGTCTTTTCACAAAGGTAAGACACCCCTGTTCAACTCTCACTTGCTTAAAGGAAATGTATTCTGAATCTTCATCAAGAAGTTGTTGAAGAGACACAGCAGATTGTAGTTTTTGAGAATCCTGAAAAAGAACCACCTCCCCACAAATCTGCTGCTTGCCTTCTACAGTTGTTCCAGAGTGAGTGAGTGCACTGACATACAAACTGTGTGTGGTATGGTACATGTACTTCTGTGGAAAAGAAAGCACTCCACAGGGTCATCAGGGCAGCAGTGAGAACAATAAGCTGCACCCTCCCCTCTCTGGAGACATCTTCATCTCCCGTTGCTGCAGGAGAAGAACAGACATTTCTGAGGATCCATTACACCGTGGGTAGTGCCTTTTTCAGCCTTTGCCATCAGGGAGAAGATAAAGAGCCATGAAAGCAAAGATAAATCATCTTAGGAACATCTTCTACCCAAGAGCAATCATGGCTTTGAGTAAGAAAAAGGAATGATCTTTTATGTATCACTTCTCGAGATAAAAATCATGAGACGCTTCCAAGCCCCCAGAATGCGGGTGAAAAATTGAAGCAAACCCGGAAATGAAATAAATTGCAGTTCCACCCTCATCCACTAGGGGCTGGTGTCAGAAGCGAGCAAATCCTCATTGACTCCCATGTTAAAAATACCAATTTCACAGCAGAAATATACATGTTTACAGCCTGGTACCAAAACATGTTTTTGGTTTAAATGATCTAGTTTACACTCCTGACAACTCTGAGGGGGGTGAATGTTTTCTCACTCTTCTGTTTAAGTGTATTAAAAGCCTAAAATTCTGTATAATTAATGAGCATCAGACCCACGTGACCACAGAGCTAGCTCCGGGGAAAGGCCTCAGTAGAGCCTCGGTCTGGCCTGGAAACTGCTCCGGGATTTTGAGTCTCTGTGTTTGTGTATTCTTGTTTGGATATTATTTGTGCAATTGTTGGACAAAATGACTTGCTGTGGCATTAATTGCACTAATAGAGCGTCCAAGGAGTCTCCACTTCATTTTTTTCGGTAAGTAAAATTATATTTATGTATTTTAGGTCACTGCCGAGCTGAGCTTAGATTTTAACATGTACTGTTTAACCATGAAATTTAAATGTAATAGGGTAAACCCCAGTGCATTTAACATAATGCTGCACTTTAGAAAATGGGTTGAAATATAACATGTTGGTGGAGCTGGGTTCCCACTATCGGCTTGTGGAGCTCTCGGGAGACCGATGTTTTCCACCTGTTCTCCCCTCCCCACAGCTCGGTCCATCTCTGTCTGATCGCGGCTTCTGTCTGCTGTGCGGCTGCTGGCTTGTGGAGGTCTCGGAGACCTCTGTGTTCCACCCGGTTTGACCCAGCGGTCAGCCCGGCGTATCTCTGACTCAGAAGCTCTGGTGTTGTGCACAGTTAACTCCGGTTGTGGCTAGGTTGCTACCTCCGTTAGCTTAGCTCCCACCTCCATGTTAGCTTTGGGTTAGCTTCAGGTTAGCTTGTAGCTAGTTCGACCGGGTGTCGTCAGTTGATCCCAGCCTTACAGCCCCACCCTCAGCTCCACCTCTCTTCCCTTTTATGGAATTGTCTGGGCTTGACGGAACCTGTGACACGGTCAAAATGGCGGTGGTGGCTACCTCCCATTTTTCTTCAAAAATGTGTTATTGGAGCTATGGAAACCCATTGTCCAATATTTATATGTCGATGGGTGCTTCACAAGAAAATTTGTTAAAAAGTTAAATGTTAAATATCAATCGACAGCTACTGTCCCATTTTCCAGTCAAAATAAACAAAGCTCCTCGAATGAAAAGCGAAACGTCTTCAAGAAACCAAAGTCCAGTTGCCTTCATTTGAACTCTTTGGATTACCAAGACCTGGATGACTGAGAACCTTCACCAACATAAAGTTAAAACAAAAAAGATTTATAAATGATTAAACATATAATACTGGGAAAATTGTCCATGTAAGGCCCTAAAGACCAGAACCAGGATCTTGAAATGAACCCAGAAGTAAACGGGCAGTCAGTGAAGCTGGAGAAGATCATAGATGTGGGCGTGTTTGGAGGACTTGGTCAGAAGCTGAATAACAAGTTATTTAACCCCAATAGAGCTCCGGCAGTTTACGTCACTTCTCCCAGCATGCAACATTTCAAATCGAAACGGAGCCATATTGGCATGCAGAAGCCGGCAGCTGGACTATTTGTTATCGTCAGAAAACTCAATCAAACGGGAAATATGGTAGATTCCTGTTGTGCCCCAGGATGCAGAACAGACACGGACGACATAAGGAATGAGCCATCTACAGGATTCCCCAAGATCCGGAGCGCCGCAAACGTTGGATCATTGTAATAAAACGCGCTAGTGACCGGGCGAAAATGAAGCTGTGGGATCCCGAGAGTAAAGGTTTTCTCTTATGCAGCGACCGCTTCATATCAGGTACTTAAACCAACGTTTCCTCAACTGTGTATGGTGTTTATTTTAAATGCTTTTATTATGATTCTTAGTGGGCTTCCTAAACTTATTTAGGCGTGGCTTTTTCTGTCTTATTACTCATAGCAACAAGTAAACATCACGTAAAACGTTGCCTCGTGATTTCTGCGTGCTGCCGTTTACGTGTTTTATGATCACAGCAATTAACCGGCTAAGCTGTATTTAATTTTAAGCAATGGTTGATCAATTGTCAGATCACACATAAAAAGCACTTTGGATTGCTATTATCTGTCTCACCGAGACAGATCTCAGACAGATCCTGAGACGCTCCTGCCTGACATATTTATTTTATTCACGGAAAAAAATCAGACTAGTGATTTCTCTTGGCGTTCAGTTTATACATTCAAACAGCACAGCACTCTATTTAAACTACTTACATGTATATCTATGTTATTTGTCCATCCATCCATCCATTTTCATCCGCTTATCCGGATTCGGGTTACGGGGGCAGTAGCGTCGAGAGGCCCAGACTTCCCTCTCCCCAGCCGCCGGAATCCCAAGGGGTTCCCCGGCCAGGTCCGGTAAGAAGTCCGCTCCGACAGCTTCTGGCGTTTTTAAAAAGTATCCCAGGGGCACGGTAAGGGTCGGAGATGTTTAGTCTATTTAATTTCTGACTATATAAAACGATTTCTTCGGTTTTAAAGTGTGAAGTAAAGTCAGACGAAGTAAAATCCAAGCAGATCCCGTTCATGTTCATGTTTACATCCGTGTTTGTTTAGCTTCTTTTACCTGCCAATATGGCGTCTACTAACTGAGAGTCACGTGGGGTCCGGAGCTCTATTGGTGCAATGTGTTGCTTCTCATTTCTTAATCAGTAATGTAGAAAGACACATCTGGTGGTGGTTGAAAAGGGTCAGATCATCTCATCTCTTCCTCTCTTTTGGAGGGTGCAGTCGCTTCTTCTTTCTCCTCCCTCATCTTCCCAAGGCTCTTTGTCCTCTGCCTGTCTCCACAGCACCTGCATTACTTCTGAAATATGGAAATAATTAAAATATAGATCTGGTCAGTTGGTCTTTAAATGTGACTAACAGTATTTTTTCAACTATGAAATCAGAGGAATGGGCTCCTACATGTTCGGATGGAATGAACCCAGTATGGCATATTTTGGATTCCTGGAAGAAATGGAATGTAATATGACTTTTCCAACTTTCTGTGGAGGATACTGAAGATGTATGGATTTTTGTAGTGTTGATTTTCAGATTTCTGCATTTTGATGTGGGCAGTTATCTGGTATGTTAGAAATTTAAGGACTTTTCTGGGGTGATTCGAATGCTTCCTTAACTCAGGGAGGGAGTTTGCCGTGCACAGACTCAGACTGTTGTCAAGATGAATTGCAAGCTACAGACTTTAGCTGCGATTCCAGCTTTGACACAAAAAGTGGATGTCATAATGGAGAGAGGGGTCCCTGCATGGCATGGAATAGTTTAAACACCATTATTCGGCCTTTTAGAAGGAGTTGAGACCGATGAAACTGTAAGGCAAGGAGGAAATTTATCTCTCCCTGTCCCACAACAATTCATCTAATCTAATCTGGTGCCCTCAAGTCTGAGGCTGAAGAGAACACCCCCCCAGCTTGGTTGGAACTGTGACCTGGTGAAGGCCATGGAACCATCTGGGAGTCAATGCATCCTCCACCCTAACCCTTCCTCCAATCTTATAACGGAAGTGATCAAGCGCACTGATGCTCTCTCTGAAGTGAGGAGTCCCCTCCCTGCACCCGCGCTGTATCCAATACATGCCTGTGTGGTTCACTGGATAGAAACTTTACACTGCTTCTCAAGCAACTTGGATTCTGTGCTTCTCCTCCAGACTCTGGGACCTTGATTTCCAAAGGAAATGCAAAATTTACTTTAATCAGAGATCATAACTTTGGACAACTCAACAATGTAGCGTCCAAGTGAACTTGATAATGATTGACACTAGATATTAATTATGTATTACGCCATGGCACAGCAGAGGGAGGTGTCTTGATGATGTGGGGAGTTAATGACGAGCTTCAGTCAGCAAATATATTGAAAATTAAAGCTGCAAGCAGCGTCGTTCGGCCCTCGCAGCTCCGCGCCGCTCCGGCCTGGCCGGCAGCCCGGGGCACCAGGCTACATCTGCGAAACAGAAACGTCGACCACCCCGACACCAGAAACTGCTAACGGCCACCTTGTCCGCACCTCACACTGACTCAGCATCCCCTTTGAGCCCACCATTATATTTTACGTCTCACCAATAGGGAATCCTCTATCTTTACCACACTGGTGGTGTGATGACAGTGACCCCCTTTAATGCTATTCTGACCATGTCTTTTAAAGTTATCGAAGGATAACGTTATCTAGGGGGCGCTGTGACCAACTACAGAAAAGTCCCATTGAGGTCAGCTTTGGTAACATTATATAACATTCACCAACCGTTTGTGCCTCATTGGCTAAAGGGCATGATTGTTCATTTCCATGTTCAGTCCCGGGCAAATCGGAGGCCGTTTCTAGAAGTTACAGACAAATGTAAGGTCATGGCGTCACACCAGCATTCAC